AGAAATACTGATTTTTATTCTCTATCTATGGAGTTCCCCAAAACTTTATACTTGGGTAGTGGCTTCACATGTATTTCACTTTCTTGTCTGCGTTCTGTTTTAAGGACATTTGTCAAAAATACATGATGAGAAGGAAAGAATCAGATGATATTATAGTCAGGGGATCCTTAGCCTTCCCATGTTTATCATGTTGGGTTTTGATGAAGGGAAGGAGCAACAGAGGACAGGAAGACTGATGTTTGGAAATGATGAACCAGTGCAGTTGGAGCCTGTGCACTCCAGGGGCCAGGGATAGGGGGGTTGGTTTGAAGGATGCTGAGGCAGCATCCACCTGCTGTGCTCCCTGTCTCTTTTTTCTATTACCTGAAGCCCACATATTTCCTAATCGTCCAGATGCTTTGATCCAGCATTATAGCTTATACTTTGGGCAATGGGCCAGGGATGTATAAAATGCCCCAACTGGAGTTGCAAAGACTAGGACAGGTGGGCGTTGCACAGGGCCCTAGTGAGCCCAAGGATTCATGCTCTGACTCCATCATTAGACATTTACCTGAATTTATAGATGAACGTGCCCTGGGTTTTGCTTTTCAGTAAAGATTCTCTAGTAAATTTGAAAGATGCTATTTGGTGGAAGAACCTGATAATCCAATAGATGCACTCAGACTTTATTCTGTGACTACCTGTATTCATAAAATGTTCTTTCTAATGATATTACAGAGAGGTTGAGAACATTGTACACAACAAAAGTGCCAGTCTTCCAGAAGATTTTCTGCACACCTGTTATGTCACAGATATTACTAATTCAATATTCCTACCCCTTTACTTTAGTCCTTCATTACAGAGGTTCTGGCCTTCACCTGATAAGCCACCTGTCACTCAACACTGGGTTGGTATGATGTTGCCTACCAAAACCCAGTGTTATCTCTTACATCTTAGAATGGCACCGAAGGCCGTGCATGCTCTGTTCTCACCCCAGTCTCTTTCTCTTCACTACCATTTCAAGTACACTGCCACCAGAAAGTCTAGTAATACCAAGCTGCCATTGCATGTCAGTGTACCTTAGCTATTGCTGTTCCCTCTGCCCAGAATTCCCTTCCCATCTTTGTCAAGTAACTGTTGTTCATAATCCAGAGCAAATGGATACAACACAAACTGGTGCTAAGAATGTTACTGGGCATCAGTTACATCACTTAACTCATATTTGCTGAATCCTGCCCATGTGCTGGGTTTAAGCAGAAGAGGAAGACAATAGGTTTGGAGTGCACACAGGTTTGGCATATGTACACATACTTGTATATATATGTATATAATTTCATTCCACATTCATAATAATCAAAGGAGCTAAGGGTTGTCCTCATTTATAGATCAGAAAATGCACTCTCAGTAGTTACATAATTTTCCTGAGATCCTTCAGCTTGTCACTCATGGAGTCAGGTGTCTAGCCTGGATTTGTCTGACTCTAAGCTTACAGACATTGTCTGACTCTAAGCTTCACATTACAGTGAAGACATTAAAGAATAAATATGGTGGGCTTCTTCTGACCAAATTTGAGATAAAAAGGTACATGAAAAAGAATAATAATGGGGGAAACAGGGAAACTTCTAGGTTAAAGGAGAGTAAGAAAACATAGTAGTCAAATACAACATTTAAGTTTTTCAAAATCCATGAGTCATGGTGGTACTCAGAGAAATGGGAAAAGTTCTTTACAAAGAATGACAGTGGAGAAGGAATGATAAAAATTTTTAAATCACCACTCATCAATGGATTGGTACAAAAACCACTGGATGAAAGTGTAGTGGAACAGGATAGTCCCATGGTTTCTACATTATGACCCCATGGATTACTCATTAATTACAAAGGGGGAAATCCTCTCTTTACAGCAGAAAGATGGTTGGGCACCACCATACCCAAGCAGTCAAGCTGGTATCACCAAGAATGAGGCAACCTGACAATATTCCTCCTAACTGTGCAGCAGAAGGGGCACAGCATCACCTATGTGTTCTTGTTAAATAGGAAATGTTTACCATGAATCTAACCGTGACAGGACAGACACTTCCATAGTGTGAGAGGTCCTGCAGGCAGCTGGCCTAGACATCTCTGCAGGTTGGCCAGATGCAGGGCATGAGCCTTGACTGGGTCCTGGATCATTAGGGTGGGGGGCAGCTGGCAAGACTCACCTTCTCCATGAAAGCTACTTTAGAGGGGCTGGATCAGTGAAAAGCACTTCCTTAGCATCTAGCCCAAGTCCTTTTTACCCCCTCCCCCACAGTCACCACCACTCTTCCCTCCACTGGGCTTGGGTTCAGGGATGACAGAGGAGACTGAGCCTGCGCCCCCCCTTTAGGGGCTGACTTTTGTTTCTCCTGCTCAGGGAAGGGCTGCCACTCCCAGCCCACAGTCCTTTCCTGGCCTCTGTGACCTTACTGACTTTCAGGCTGTTCCTTGTCTGGGTCCCTGGCCTTCATGGAGGGCCTGTCCCTCCTTTCACTGAAATGAGTGGTGGCTCCCTTGGTCGCTTAGATATCCTTGTCAGTGCCCCCTCCCTCCGTGCACTTTCTCTGTCCCCCACCGCATGTATTCATTTCCCTTCACTTGTCCTAGAACTTTGCTGCTTTGCTTGTCTTGCAGGTTCAAGTGTGAATGGCCTGGAAGAGCCTAGCATTGCTAAGAGACTCAGGGGTACTCCTGAAAGGATTGAGCTGGAGAACTACCGCCTGTCTGTGAAACAGGCAGAGGAGCTGGAGGAGGTGCCCGAGGAGACGCAGGCTGAGCACAACCTGAGCAGCGTGCTGGACAAAGGCGCAGAGGAGGACGTGGCCAGCAGGTCAGCCTGTGCCCGGGAGCTCCGGCCCCGCTTTCTTGTGTGCTGCAACATGCCCATGGCTTGCCCTAGCAGCCTCTTCCCCAGATGAATATACTGTCCTGCTTGTGGGGAGAGGCAGCACCATGCCCTTGGCATGGGATCTGAGCCAGACTATCGGTGCCACCTACCAGCTGTGTGACACTAGGCAAGTTAAGCAACCTCCCTATGCCTCTGTTCCCTCATCTGTGAAATGAAGGCAATACGAGTACTTTCCTCACAGAATTGGTGTGAGGATTAAATAGTATAAAGGGTTTAAAACAGTATGTGGCACATGTAAGTGCATGTCGATGGTGGTTGCCTTTACTACTACTTTGCATGGCGCTGGAGTATTTACAAAGGACTTCTGTATCCATCACCTCACTTGGTCATCCTCACAGGAATCCTGCAAAGTAGACGAGAATGTTTATCTTACCACTCTGTGGTTAAGGAAACACATGGGGACTAATATTAGGATCAAGGATTGACTGAGGTTCAAACTCAGGTTTCCTGGATCCCAGTCCAGGATTCTTCCTGTTCTCCCTGCTGATCTCCCCCTTTCCATGCAGTTCCCTCTTGTCATCTTGTTAGCTGGTAAGAACACAACCCACCAGACTTAATGCAGAAATTCAGTAAGTAGTTCTTTTTTTTTTTAATTTTTTTTCTCAACATTTTTTAAATTTATTTTTGGGACAGAGAGAGACAGAGCATGAATGGGGGAGGGGCAGAGAGAGAGGGAGACACAGAATCGGAAACAGGCTCCAGGCTCCGAGCCATCAGTCCAGAGCCTGACGCAGGGTTCGAACTCACGGACCGCGAGATCGTGACCTGGCTGAAGTCGGACGCTTAACCGACTGCGCCACCCAGGTAGTTCTTGAACACCTACCATGGCCTTAACACTTTGTCTTTCATTGAAAAGGTAACAGGAAAAAAAAATAAATAATAGTCCCAGGTCCTGCCCTCAGGTGTTGTTTGCAAATTTACTGGAAGAGAAAGGACTTCCACATGGGAACAACAGAAACCTAAAGCAGTGTGCTGTTGAGGGGCAGGTGGTTCAGTAGAAGAAGCTTCAGGGTTGGAATTAGGGGCTTCTGTGAGGACACCAGTTCACCCTGCAGTCTTGGGGAAGCCACATCACCTCTCCAGACTTCCTCCAGTGATTTTGTGCTTGGCCATCCCGATGTTTTAATTAAGTGTAACTGAATGATGCCTGAGGAGGACTTGTGCCCTCCAGCCCCCACAGAACTGCCTGAGTCCACTGTCTTAACCCCAGGGCCTCGTTTTCACTATGGCCCAGGTCTACCAGGGTCAGTACAGAACTCAGAATGCTCCATGAAGATTATCAAGGACATGGAAAGGGAATAAGATAAAAGCTGGAGTAAAGTCACTGTTGGTCAGACTGTCCTGCAGGGCTTCTGGGGAGCCCTTACTCTGTCTCCCAGACTAGTGGAGGCTTTGCCTTATCATTGAGACACCAGCAGGATGCTTCTTTGTTGCCATGAGTAAGGAAGGGAATGTGTGCGGTTAAAGAAAGCAGTGCTTTTTTTTTTTTTTTTTTTTTTTTTTTTTTAAGTTCCAGGAATGTTCTTAGGGTGTCTGCTGGGCAGAGCTACTTACAGCTGCATTCCACCACCTCACACATACTTTGGATCAACTGCTTCTTGGGCTGGCCTCAGAGACAGCATTAATGTGCATTGTTGGGCAGCCTCCCCCTGGGTACCTGCATTTCAGAAGCCATCACCACATACACACATACACACACACCACATACACACACAACTACATCTCTACGCAGAACATCCACAGAGCATGTGTTCCTGCTCTGTGTCGATGAGGGAGAGCCCACTCTGCAGACCTAATAGCTTAGCCTCAGGGTGAGTGTGGTCAGCCAGCTTTTCTGCCATTGTGATTTTTCCTCCACTGTGATTTGTAAACTAACAGGGAACGAGGCAGCAGTATGTAGCAAGGACATTTCAGGAAAGCTACACCGTGGCACATGTAGCAGGGTGCAATAGGAAGGGCAGGATAGAAGAATATGAAATCAGTCTGCATCAAATGGTGTCTGCCTCTTTTTTTTTTTTAAGTTTATTTATTTATTACTTAAGCAATCTCTACACATAGCATGGGGCTCAAACTCATGACCTCGAGACCAAGAGTCACATGGTCTTCCGACTGAGCCAGCCAGGTGCCCCAAATGGTGCCTGTGTCTCAAACTCGACAGCAACAAGTGGCATTAGCTCTTTGCAGAGTGAAAAAACGGTCTCTTAAACCGAATTGCTCAGAGGGAGGAGCCACAGATTTTGTCTTATTTCCCTGAGGGCAGTGATCAGATGCAGACAGTGTATCATGTATTTTCTCCATCTTCCCTACAGCACCAAGCAGAGTTAGGTGCATTCTCAGCCCTCAGACCTTCCTTGGAGATGAGGAATGACTGTTTTAAGAAATTCACTGGTCCAATCCAGGAACTCACTTTTGACAAGTTTAAAGAACTCTTAACTTCATCGTCTGCTTGGGGGAGCATTGCAGTATCATAATTCAGAGCATGACATCGGAGTCAAACAGACCTGTACTTGAAGCCTTGTTCTACCACGTAGTAGTTATGGCCACATTTCTTGGCCTCTCTGTGCCTCGGTTTTCTCATCTGCAAAGAACACTGCACCTCATTGGTTTGTTATGAGGATGAAATCAAATAAAACAACTGACACAGTTCATGGTGCCCAGGGAGCACTAAATCATTGCCACCCCTACTGTCACCACCTTAGTGCATTGTAGCTCTAAGCACAATACAGGGTATCCCTCACGAGGAGGGGCAGGGCCAGTGATTCTTGTATTGGGTTCCTTAAACGGCTGGTTTAAGTGCCACAAGTTGCGTTTGGCTTGGCCCTAGGGCGGTGCTGATCAAACTTTGCTGGCATCAGAACCACCCAGAGGGCTTGTTAAGCCAAAGATTGCTGGGCTGTTTTTTATTCAGTCATTTGGGGTAGAACCCAAGATTTGCATTTCTAAAAAGTTCCCAGGTAATGCTGTGGTCTAAAGACCAAGGATGGGGGCGCCTGGGTGGCGCAGTCGGTTAAGCGTCCGACTTCAGCCAGGTCACGATCTCGCGGTCCGGGAGTTCGAGCCCCGCGTCGGGCTCTGGGCTGATGGCTCGGAGCCTGGAGCCTGTTTCCGATTCTGTGTCTCCCTCTCTCTCTGCCCCTCCCCCGTTCATGCTCTGTCTCTCTCTGTCCCAAAAATAATAAATAAACGTTAAAAAAAAAAAAAAAAACTTTAAAGACCAAGGATGGCTGCTCTAAATTTCCCTGATAATAAGTGCCACCTGGGACATGTGGTAAAAACGTAATTCCTGGACCCTCCCCTGGAGCAGCTGATTTAGTGGGCTTGGGGTGGAGACCAGGAATACCTGTTTGTTAACAAACCCCCTAGGTGAGTCTTAGCTGCTTTGTGGTTTAGTTTGCACAGAGACTATTGGCCCAGACCTAATTAGCTCCTTGATCCTTCCTTGGACTGGGGGAGGGGGAGGGGAAGCATCTTCCAAAGGAAACCCTGGAAGTAGTACTTTTACTTTTCTCTGGAACAGAACAGGTGCCTGAAGACAAAAGAAAACTGGCTTTATGGTTTTAGTTTTGTTTTTCCCTGATTGCCTGTCTGGAAAACTTTGCCCCAGGCAATGAAGATGGCTTGTGCAGTACCCATCTGCTGAAGTCCTCAACTGTTTGCACATTGCTGGCTCTAAAGAACAAGTTAGCACTAGAGCAAACAGGTATCCTTTCCATCCAGATGGGACAACCAGGTTACAGAGGACTCCCCAAAAGTCGATGACAGGCCAGCCCAAAGGGGCTTTGCTCTCCATCAGAGTAACACAACAAGGAAAAGCCCCTCCTTCAAGACTCACCAACATAAGTGGAAATTCCTGACCGTTCCCGTTCCCTCTCTTCTCCCTTATCCCTTCTCCAGTGGAGGCAGTAACGTGAGCCATTGCTGAGCAGGATACTGCTTTTAGCATGGATTAAATGTTCATCATGTAATGGGGCGCCTGGGTGGCGCAGTCGGTTGAGCGTCCGACTTCAGCCAGGTCACGATCTCGCGGTCCGGGAGTTCGAGCCCCGCGTCGGGCTCTGGGCTGATGGCTTGGAGCCTGGAGCCTGGAGCCTGTTTCCGATTCTGTGTCTCCCTCTCTCTCTGCTCCTCCCCCGTTCATGCTCTGTCTCTCCCTGTCCCAAAAATAAATAAACGTTGAAAAAAAAATTAAAAAAAAAAAATGTTCATCATGTAATGATTGCTGGACAACATACATCTTCTCCAGCAGTCTGCTTAGCGGTATAATGTTTACACAGTTGTCAGAGAGGGTGGGATCTAGGAGTGGACTCTCTGATTATGAGTGGATTCATTTAAAAATGAAAGCCATGATTCCCTATTTTCCCTTAAACCATCTAAGAACTTAATGTGCTGTTTGACATAGCAGCCTGCTTCATTCACAGTAGGACCTGCCCAGATTTCCAGTATCCACTTTCTGAAGTTAGACCCAGGCAGCCAGGAGACTGGTCATGATCTTGCTCCTGGGTTTGCCACCCTGACAGCTGCTAGTGGCTGAAGAATTCTTGGGTTCTTGGTGAACAATCCAAGAGGGCACGGTATGACAGGTGCGGACACTGGAGGGAATCCTGACCTCTCACACCAATGATCCAACCGTTTTAAGCTTCAGTGGCCTCATTTGTAAAAATGACGATATTAATATATCCTGGAGTCCTAGAGTTATTGTGTAACTGAGTGACCTAATTCATGTGAAGTGCCTTGTGCCACGTGGCACTTCACCAGGGCTCAGTAAGTATTCACCATCACTACTGTGATGATCACCGTTGGCCTTTCTCTGGCACAGCAGAACCTCTGTTGAGCTCATAGAAGTCTGGAGCAAATCTTGTTTTTTTAGAATCTAGTCCATGTGCCTGCTGGTCTTACTTCCTCCTATCAGGCCCCACCATAGCCTCAGTGAGAAGATGGCATCTGATAGGGAGTTCAGGTAAAGTGCTTTGAGATCATTGATCAGATATAAATTGCAGCAGGGAGGATTTTTGCAAGGTGTCATTGTAACTCAAAGGCTCTGCTCCTACTGATGGACTTCACCAAGGGGCATCAGAGGTATCATCTGACACCTGTAAATTTAGGTAGCAACCTACCCTGGCTTTCTCTGGTTGTGCATCCTTCCTTGCCTTTCTTGGCTGTGCTAGGCACTACAAGCACCACTTCAGTGAGCCAAGCAGACCTGTTCCTGCTCTCAGAGAGAGTGCAGTCCAGGGGAGGTGGACCTACATCAAACAATACATTGTTACAAATGCTGATCTTGATGACTATATTTTCTTGTGGCCTTCATCTCCTAGGAGGCTATAAACTGAGAGGTCACGCTGTCTTCCCAAAAGGATAGAGAAATTGTTCCCTATGTTGTCTTTTGTTCTGGCGTAGTGATCTTCCCACTTAAGATGTTTCTAGGTTGATGTCCAAGTAGGGGTGAGAGGGTCTGCCTCACTACAGATTCCTTCTCTGTACCCTTCCCCCAGCCTCTTCAAAGGCCAGACCCAGAAATTCAGGCACTGGGAACAGCCACAAAATGTAAAAATGAGTCTTGAAGTACTGAGTTTACGCTGTGAATCTTGCACGACATAAGGAGCCTGGTGAGATTCAGGGGACTGCTCCAAGCTCCCATGGATGTGATGGCTTGGAAAGGAATAGTTGGCAATGCTTGTCCACCCCTCTCCTTCACAGAGGGAGGGAGACTGGTTTGCCTGTCTCAGATTTCCAGAAACAACGTATCAAGGCCTTTCAGAAAGAGACTGAGAGCTAATAGCTTATGAAGAAAGGCAAGGGTTGACCTTTCCACCCTATCTTTTATGCTCCATGCCTCACTTGCTATTCTCCCGTGGTCTTTGAGCTGTCGTAAAACTAGCCAGTATCACACTCATAGCTGTGAGTCCCATTGCCCTCATCAGAGTATTAATTGCTCACATTATGCACAGTGCCACTGCCCTCATGACGTGGCACAGTACAAGGAATGGGCCGTGCTGAAGGCACCTCTCCCAAACAGTGGCAGTGTAGTCCCACTGTGCCTGCCGACTGCTGGAGTTACCTTGTATGCCTGGCTGGGAAGGAAGGACAAGCTGGCCTGCCTTCTGCCCACCTGAAGTTTGAATAAATTTACATAAGATTTAAGATGAGCATAGGAGGCATTCTTATCCTTATTTCATGTTTGAAAGATGTTAAGTGATACACATTGTTGCTAAATAATAAGATAGTAAACAAATGAAAATAATACCTAAATAAATACTGAAAAACAGTCAAAATCCAGATGCCAAGTTTTCCATGGTCCAAATTCTTATGTTTACTCACCTTAAACTGCCTCCTCTCAACCTTTCATTCCACTACAGTTATTTCCTACCTTATTTTATCATCCTGTGTTCGCATTTTATCTCCCTTGAGAATAAGGATCTTTGTATTCTCTGCAATGTGGAGGAAGTGCATTGTAAGTAAAAGACGCTCAGTAAATTTTAGTGGGTGGGTGGATGGATGGATGAATGGATGAATAAATGAATCAAGTAGTATTCACCAAAATGAGCTGCTTACAGTAAGGAGCTGCCTCTTTTTATTTTTGTATCCATTGGTTGAGATTTAGTAAGTACTCAAGAATGCTCATTGAATGAATGAATGAATGAATGAATGAATATGTAAATGGGTAAACAAAGAAGTGAATAGCGAGAGTCCCAGAGTATAACACAAACATTATAAAAATCAGTAAAATCCCTAATCTTCACAACGTTTCTACAAGGTAGATGTGAACATTGCCTCCTTACTGATGCAGAGACTGAGGCTCAGCATAAATAATCAGCTCATGGTCATGCAGCTGGTAAGCAGCAGAGCCAGTGTAACACTGAGAATCAGCCACCTGAGAAGTAGGCGGGCATACAGCCCCCAGGGCTGCCCTCAGACTGACCCAACTAAAGGCTGAGAGTTCCCAAAACCACACTCAAGTTCAATAATTTGTTAGACACACAGAACTCACTAAAATGTGTATACTCATGGTTGTGGTTAATTACAGGGAAGGATACTTACTGAAATCAGCCAAGTAAGGAAGTGCACAGGGCAGAGTCCAAGAACATACGGATGTGGAGCTTCCATTGTCC